ACTTTATTAGTAAAGATACAAAACGTTACTCTTGAGCTGTCAATCCGAAGCAACCGAAGTACGTTACACGATCAACAACCGTTGCTATCCGAACGATCTTCCGCTGTCCATCTCTATTAACGAACAATCGGCGCGGCTAAACTCGCGCTGTACACGCAAAGACGTAATAATAGATTAAAATTGTATTTAAAATACAAAATACAAAGAATAATCTTTTTGAAATGTAAACTACTTTTATACGATCCACTGAAATACAAAATACAAATTGTATTTCAAATACAAGTATTTGAAATATGCCCCGTCTATGTACGAAACTATTCAAATACGTCATTTCGAGCATCGTATACTTGGATAGAAGATACTATACATTTATTCCCTCCCCCCTCTCACTCTCTATCATTCTTATATTTCCACTATGTCGTTCGTTCTTAGTGCATTGTGTGACATAAAGGATATCTAATCACGCATATTTCTATCTTTTAATGTAATCGTCAGCTGTTGCATACGAATGTACAATCTATACAAGGTGTAACTTAAATAGCGACCACTAATTATATAGTGTTATTCCTGATCAAAAATTGAGTCAAAAAGTTCTAAGTGTGCGTGAGCGTTCCGCCGCGCGCCGCGCCGCTATGTTCTCACCGCTATGTTCACGCACACTGCTACGCGCGCGGATCACTGATGTGTGCCCGTCTAAAGAACGGCGTTGATTGAATTAATTTAACTCGGGAATAACTGCTTAATTAAAAATTATAGAAAAAAATGGCTCAGAACTTTTTGACTCAATTTTTGATCAGGAATAACACTACATGATTAGTGGTCGCTATTTAAGTTACATCCTGTATATATGTATAAATGAATTTAGATAAAAGAAATAGGCTCCAAGAAATAAATCAAATATAGTAAAATAATTGCCTATGAGAAAATAAGCAATTACTATTAAAAAATATATTTTAATTATTACAATTTGAAATATTATATCTCTGCAGCTCTCTAAAGTTTAAAAGAAAATATGAAATAGATACAAAATAATCAATAAATATATATTGAAATATAGTTAAAATGAAAAATGACAATAAATCGTCGTATATACAGATATTTAAAAATTTCCAAATTTATTCAACGAGAAAAGACAAAGACAAAACACTTCCACATATAAATGTTTTTCCTAGCACTTTCTTAATTGACTAAGTTTTTTTTTCTTTTTATTTGCTCTTTTATCACGTATCTCTATTCTTTAATTTCTTTCTCTATTTCTTTCTGTTAATGCTCGATAAATATATGCTCTCTGCATTAGCGATACAAATGCAAATCATATATAAATGCACAGAAAAGAATTTAATTACTTTTTCATATTATAATAAGCAAATAAAAAGCAAATAAAATTGTATAGTTTTATAAGTTTTTGGTTATATTTTAGATTAAATGTAAAAATATACGTAGACATTATCCCAAGTTATAATCTCATCGTGTCAAGTCATCAGCTTTGTAAAATTTTGCAAATTACTGCGCATTTATATAAAATAAGAAATACAGGAATAAGATCTCGTTATATAAATTTTCTTTCCATCTGTGTTTATTTCCGACTTTACTCCTTTTGTATCTAATACATTTTACGTTCATGACGGAGAATCATTAAAACGTATGTATGACGAATAAAATATGTAAGAACGCATTATGTATGTGCATGAATGCATGTAATAATTTTGACACTATTTTCTGATATTTCAATGCCTCAGCAAAAGTAAAAAACAGAATATATTCGCTTGTAACATGCGCAATGACAAAAAAATACGCTTAATCATTTTGTAATCGCTCAATAAATCATTTGTTTTTTATATATGATTAAATTTATTTTAATAACTTCATCATTAATATTGAAATTTTAATTAATATAAAATCATTTTCTTGCATTTCTTTTTGTAATTATCACCCAATAACTTTACTAATAGATATTTTAATAATTATTTTTATATTTGTTTCACAAATTTTAAATCAATTGTTTCTAATAGGAAAAAAGCATTTATTAAGAAATACCGATATCTCTTTTCGGGTAAATATTCTGATTGCTTCCGCTTGATTACTAGTGATAAGAACTTTTCACACAAAATGAAATTCTTGTGGCATACCTACTACTGATTTCTATGTACCTATAAATAAAATGTTATTATATGCTTATATATTTTTGTTTATATTTTTCTCAATTTTACTAATCAGCGTTAGAGTATAATGAATGTATACATCAAACATTTATTTGTTTTTATTATTTTATTGACAGTTATTCATCATACATTTTTTTGTTATATAAAATCGTTAATTTCTTATTCTAAAATTTAAAATAACTTTCAAAGCTGAGGTGATAAAGCAATTTAATCAGCGGCATTGTTTTTTGTGACTGAAAATCTATAAGAGACACCTACTCTGATTACAGTTATTTAATAAAATGTTTTCACCTGTATTACTCCCAAATGTTTTTTGTGTTCGATATCTTTATAACTTTTATCACGATCAATAATAATTAATTTTAAATAAAGTGAATTGGAAAAATAACTTTTGTTATTTTTATTATATAAAAAAAATTCTTTTATTAATATCTTTTATTGATACAAAAAACATATCTACGTAAGAATAAGGTAATTTACTCTAACTGTTTAAAATTTGAAATCACGGTAATGTACGGTAGACAGAAACAATAAATGCGTAAAAATTATCATATTGTTTAATACAAAACACAAACACACACACACACACACAAGTTTATATGAATTTGAACTTATTTGAATTTGTTTTCAAGTAACGTAGCACAATAAATTTAATGTTTTTTAGCAATTGTTATTCCTTATCAGCAAATACTCAAAATATCTATTATGTACCTCAAAATAAATATAAACATTTAAAAACGAGAAAAACAATCCATTTCTTTTGCTATCGATTACACTGTGCTACAGCAAAATTCTCTCCAAAGTGCGACCATACGTTTCTCAAAGATTTTTTTGCGCTGAACACGAATGCCGTTGGCAGAATTCGTGTAGCACGTCAGGATTTTGAGTCAATTTGAATTAAAGTGGCCAAAAAAAGCTAATTCACTTTCATTCCAATTTACTCAAAACCCTGCCAGACGAATTCTTCCAACGGCGTCGTTTTCAGCACGAAAAAATCTTCGGAAAATGTATGGTCGCACTTCAGAGAGAGAAGAAAAAATATTTTTTGTAACACAGTGTATAAAAAGTCTAAAAGTATAAAATTCAAACAGCCATAACTTGATGAAAAAAAGTCATACGATTATAAACCAAAGTTCGTTTGAAAGCTCTTGAATGATACTTTCAGATGCCGCATGGTTCATTTAGAAACCAGTTTCCGTTTAACCACAAGAAAATGTCAAAAGTGTCCAAAAACGCTATTTTTGGCCACTTTCACTCCAAGTTACTCAAAATCCTCACGTACTAGATGAATTTTTTAAACGGCATCGTGTTCAGCGCAAAAAATCTTCGAGAAACGTGTTGTTGCACTTCGGAGAGAGAAAAAAAAGTTTTTTTACAGCACATTGTTACTAATTTTCTTATTCTCTCTAATTTTCTCTCATAATACTTCCAGGTATTACTCAAATTTGTTGGAAGTGTCAATAATATACCATCAGAGAATGAACAAGGTTTCTAGTAAATCCGAATAAAACTTGGAAATGTTGACAGAGTAAAAACAAATTCTATATATATTATTATATAATTATAATAACAGATTTACATTAAAATACAAAATAACTATTGGACAACTTATGAAAATGAGTAGAGATGCAAAATTGTTAGAATATAAAGTTTATTATAACTTGAAAACAAAGTCACAATTGAAACATATAATATATTTATTTGAATTTTTTATTATTTCTAACTACAAAATTCGTTCCTGAAATGAGCGTATATTATATGATTTTTTATTTGAATACAGGAGTTTGTTTCTATTCATTAGAAACAAATAATTTTAATGTTTCTATTGTTACTAATAATACAAATAAATATTTTATAAAGAAAACATGTTGTAAAATGTAAAGAGACAATTTTTAAAATATTTAATTTAAGGAACAACGAAGTATTTAATTTAAAATATTTTTTAAATTAAAAATATTAAAAAATTAAAATTATTATTTAAATATAATCACCTTTTTAAACATTTATTTTAAGATATAATTAAAATAAATTAAGATTTTTACATAATGTATAAAATATATGATATAAGTTTCTTTTCTATTTCGTACGTCTTCCTTCCTTTGACCCTCTTCTCTTGTTTTCTTCTGTCTCTTTTCTTTGACTCCATTACCTATTTCTTCCTACGTTTTAGTACTATCTGATCCATTATTTTTTTAATATGTCACCTTTCTTTTTTTCAGCAATGTCTCTCGTATATCTCTCCAACACATATTCATCTCTATTTTTGCTTCACATCCTTTGATTTCTCTCCCTCCTTCCAATATCTTTTCTTTCTCATCTTGTTCCACCTGAATCTCACTATTCTTATCATCTTTTCCTCTTGTTCACCTTACAAGGCACCCAAAAATTCCCCTCCGATTTTAATAAGCTTTTAATATGTTATTTTCTAGA